AGGAAGAAAAAATACTTAATTAACGAGGTTCGGTTCACTCCTCAGCTTTCCAGCAAATTTTTGTCTTGACCTCTATTTTAAAAATTTTACAAAACTTTTTAGTTCTAACAATAATTTGGATTCTATAATGCTAATTTAACGATACTCAATTAAAACTCAATGATCGAATTCCATACTCAAAACATTGTGAGGAACTATATTTTGTGGCGGAAGGGTTTTTTTTAAGAAGAAAAAGATCAATTTTCCCCTTTCGAAGTATTCAGTATTGTTAAGTTGGATTCCAAAATTTTTCATGCAGCCTGCAAAAGAATAATTTTGTGCAGTGAAATGTTCAATGCTGGTCCTAAATTATATATTAAATTAACTTTCATGAATTCTATCATCATTATGAAAGTCCATAAAACAATACAAAATTAGATCAGAGCAAACACGGACCTCCGAAACATCAGAGGTGGGATCAGGTGCCATGGAGGAGTGAGCATCCCCTGTTGACCGGTCACACCTACATGTGCTCCTTGTCATGATCGGAAGTAATGGAAAAATCCGTCGTCAATTCAGTGTATAAATAATGGACTAACAATAAGTTTGAAAAACGTCAGTCAGCATTTGTCTAAATGATATAAATTGTATTTGCTGACAAGGTCATTGTATCGACCATAGAATTTACGAAATGATGATTTTAAACTAGACTGTTGATATTCTTGTTTCATCAACTTGCTTGTTAATAATTTACCTCGTTTTAGAAATTGTTCATACGTAGAGCATGCTCTTGCGTATCGAATCAACTGAGATATATAGGCTCCGTATACAGGTGATGAAGGTATATTGTTGCATAAATAAGGGAAGTTGACGATAGAAAAGTTAAAATCATCACGTTTATCATATAGCTTGGTTGTTAGATTACCATTAACGTCTTTTTTAAGTAATATAAACTGCCAAATTTAAGCTTTAAATTAACATTGTTTTACTAATATTTAAAAATTAACATCACAGACCCCCCTTTTTATTTCATTTTCTAAAAATATAAGATTAGTTTACACCACTCTGCCTAAATTCAGAAAAATGTTATTACTTAAGTGATTTTATTGCTTTTTAATTTTTTTCGAAAAATACTTTTTTGAGTGCAAAAAGGTCAAATAATTGACTATCCAAAGTAATTTACAACTATTTTTGTTGACACAAATTTTAATGTGACTATTCAAGATGAAAAAAGACTGTGTTTGTTCCAATAATTTTTTGGATAAAAGTGTTAAAGGTAAAACTGAGAAATAATTTATAAGTTAGACTTAATTACAGTACAAAAAGGTCATATTAATGGCTCCGTAGTGCTAAAAGAAGCGCACTGACGCCATTATTTTCTTACGATTTTTATTAAGCTATGTATGTAGATTCTAAAAATATACTTGACAAAACATTCTCAATACTTTTGATGACAGGAGCCTGCCTCCATCAGAAAAGATAAAATTATCATGTACTGACACAGAAAGTTTTGCTCACAATTTGCGATTTCTTAAATTATGTCATCTACAAAAGGTTGTCAGTGGCCCCATACATTTAAAATGAAGTTTTTCTTTATACTTTAACACACAGATACCATTTTGATAAACTGAACATAAGAAATATCTAATTCTCAGCTCACGACAATGGCTTCACACATGGTCATGTGATCACCAACCAAATATTCTCAAAATGTATTGATGATATCAAAGGCATTAATAAATCATGTTAATCTTTGTATGAAATAATGCATGCTGCCTTTGTTTTCCAAAATTCTTCTTGGAATTAATCATAAATAAAATCTTAAACATTTTATAATTCTCCTATGTTTGAATGTCACCTGTGGAAATTTTCATAACCTTTGACCTGCAGATAACGAACCAGTTTCTGTGCTTAACTTTGAGGATTTCTGACAACGGTATTGTATTGGAACTTAACGTGTTCCTGACCGTGTAAACGAGGTCTGTTGATAACCTTGTTTCATCAACATGTTTGTTAATAGCTTGACTCGTTTTAGATATTTTTTCATACTAAGCATGCTCTTGCGCAACAACATGGAGACATAAACTACTTTTGCAGGTGATAACAGCGTAAATGCTACTGAAATAAAGTAAAAGAGAAGTTGAAGTCATCTTGTTTATCCAAAAATTCTATTTCCAGTAAAATATCTAAATATGAAAGAGATGTGTCAAACATTGTGGCATATTTTATTTCCACACTTCAGAAAACAATAAAACAATTGATGACTAATTTATGAGAGCTTTTATTCTCACCGGGCCTTAGCTGTGGACTCGGAATAGACCCATTGTCCGAGTCTTCACCTCACTATATGTCTTTTACTTTGCTTAATAATCCTTTTTATAATCATATATAAAAACAAATGGGAATTTATGTATTTTTCACTTTGAAAAGTATTTCATGAATATTTTCGTTTCCCGATTTTTAACATATAATGGTGAATCGATAGGAACATCGGACATTTTTGTAATATCATCTAGAATTGTCAGAACACCTTGTCTATCATAATTTCATTTTTTATGTTGAGGATTTTTTATCACAGAAAAAATGGCATGTGTTAGTTTGTCTCAAATTATCACAAATTAATAATACTAACATACTACAGTTGTAGTATATCAAATTATGAAATTGCATGTTTACTGATGTGCAGTTTAAATTCAGAAAACATGTACAAGGTGTTAAAAGTTTTTGCAAAACTTCTAGTATTTTTATACAGTGTAAAATGCTTTCTTTTCTTTCGATTTTTCATTCTTATGATTGTATTACAAAAATATGTAACCCAGTACATGTGATAAAAATTATTATTACCGGTATTCATATGTTTTAACAAAATGAAAAAAAATGTAAGGTCATCAACAGGATTTCTCCACAGAACCAATCAGATTTCAGAGGAGATACAAATTTGCTGGGTATGTACATTAATATAAAATTTTCCGTATTCAGTCCTATATAAGTCCAAATTCTTTGCCCCTTTGGCATAATTTACTGAGATGCCGAGGTTATCCATTTCAGCTTACTTGGTTGCCTTCTTGACAGTTCTTCTTGAAACGGAAGTCAGAGCGTAAGTTGTTTTTGTTTAGTTTCATAATAATATACTTTAAAAGCCATATGAAAGTTTGCCAAAGAATGGAGGCATACAAGGCTCGGAAATTCCACCGATCTGAGACAAGATAATTCTTTATTTTAAAAGTTATAATTTAAAAAAAAATGAGTTGACAGGAACACCATTTATGAATTTGATTACTTTTGAAAAAGGAACAAGATGTGTTTGTGAAACACTATGCACCCGGCGGCAACAAAGTTAAAAAACATTTTTTAGCATATAGGTCACATTCAAGGTTACAAGGTCATTGGTCATTGTCAAAGAACTTGATAAGTGAAGTATGCATACCAAATATGAAGTCTCTATCTTTCATGGCGTATATTGTTTTTGTCCTGTCTGTCTGTTTATCTGTTTGTCTGCAAATTTTAACCTTCGTCATAACTTTTGAATCATGAATGAAAGAGACTTCATATTTGGTATGCATACTCTACTAATTAAACTCTTTCAAATGACCCCAAGGTCAATGACCTTGTGACCTTGACTGTGACCTACATGCTACAAAAAGTTTTTTCTGCAAACTTTAACCTTTGCCATAACTTTTGAACCATAAAAGATAGAGACTTCATATTGGTATGCATACACCATTGATAAAGTTCTTTTAAATGACAACATGGTCAATGACCTTGACTGTGACCTATACGTTAAATATAGCTTTTTTGTCGGCAAACTTTAACCTTCGCCATAACTTTTGAACGAAGAAAGATAGAGACTTAATATTTGGCATGCATACTCCACTAATTAAGCCCTTTCACATGATACCAAGGTCAATGGCCTTGTGACCTTGACTGTGTCCTATATGCTAAAAATAGCTTTTTAGAACCTTCACCATAACTTTTGAACCATGGGAGATAGAGACTTCATATTTGGTATGCATACTTCACTTATAAAGTTCTTTCAAATCACCATGGCCAATGATCTTGTGTTCTTGACTGTGACCTATATGCTAAAAATATGCTTTTTAACTTTATTGCAGCCGGGCGCATAGTGTTTCACAAACACATCTTGTTTAATCTATAATGTGCTTAAAGTGCCCATAAAGAACTGAATTTGCAGTTTTCATCTTCTGAACGTCAGGTAAATGCTTAAGCTAGACCCAGCATGACTTAATAGTGTATCTAAAGATGAATGATGCTGCATTCTTGTTTTTGAGGAAACTTGAGGCCTTAACTGTTTTCTAAATGGGTCACTAAAAAATGATGATAAAAATTTTTATTGCATATTCTTGAACATTTATTTGATATGAAACTTATAAAAGAGTCACAAAAATATAATTTGTGCTTTATAACTTATAATATTTTTATCAAGAGGTATTTTTTTCGTGAAGAGAAGGACACTCGAGAGTTTTGCAGCACTTTTGATATTTTTTAAATCGAAAAAATAACACGTTTATTCAATCAATAAATTCCATTCTTTCAATGTTGAAAATGTAAAAATATCACACCTTCTAAAGTGTGATGTAAAGATTTAACTTGTTGAATTTAGCTTGTATCTTTATAGGAAAACATGTACAAAGACATCAGTGTACTATTCCACATATAGTTATTGTCAAACGTATGTTTGGGTCTGGTAAGTAACGAAAATAAGATCTCATCTCCTCTCAAAACTTTGCATAAAGCAATATTTAATGTCATAATTGATATTATGTAAAGTTACGATATTACAAATATATAATGTTGAACAGGAATCATTGTCACCTGCAACGCAATATAATAGAAATTATGCGAGAAAATTTCCTTTCTTACAGAATTGCTTCAGTATATACTATCAGTCAATATCAGATAAGGGTATATTGGGAAATTTTTCAATTGTCTCTCAATATTTATCTATGAATTTTCATTTCAATGTTTAGATCAATCATTTATGCATTTTGATATTTTGATTAGTGTTTCGTGGGGATATAGAAGACACATTAACTACTATACACAACATGTCTGCTGCCAGGGCTACACGGGGACTAACTGTGAGACGCGTAAGAATATTATAAATATAATATTAAGAATTTTATTCTTAAAAATTGAATACTTATTTGAAATAGTATGGAATAAAAATTGTAACGACGTTTTTTTTTTTGGCGTAAAGTTTTATATTTTCTAGAGTGCAATATTTTTAAGCTATAAGAGTGCAATATTTTTAAGCTATAAGAGTGCAATATTTTTAAGCGATATGCGACCCGCCTTGCAAGAACGGTGGAACATGTGTAGCACCCAACAAGTGCCAGTGTCATGATATAGTGGGTGGAGCCTCTTGTGAAAAGGGTATTTATTTTTATCAATTTTGTCAAGAAAATCATAACTGGTTCACTGTAAATAAAGTGTATAATATTTACATAGCATAACAAAGTTGCTGAAAATGAACTCACTGTCGGGTATCCGCGCCGGTTGTGACATGTTTGGATGCAGTGAAAATGGCGGAGTCAATCAACCGCTTCGATTCATCGAAAGGTTTTAGTCTTATTAAATGGAATCTGTAGTGTGTAATTTTACAACTAAGAGACAGCCTGTGTTTAAAAGCAATTATTTATCCTGTAGTTCTGCCATAAATCCACGAATTTAATGCAAAGAAACTGTTCCGATTGTGACATGATATAGAACAACGTAACATGTTTGGATGACAGAGTTTACAAAACTGTGTACGGTTTGGATGAAGTTGTGATACGGTTTGGATGAGATTCGTTGATATAAAATTATACTTAATATTGTGGTATAATATGTCAATTTAACACTTTTAAAGGAAGGGGCGGGGTTTCCAGGTAAACTGTTTGAAAACTTACCTGGAAACATCTTTAACGAACAAATAAATGGTAACATATCAAAACTTAATAAATCATATTTCGTAAAAAAAAAGGGGGGGGGGTCACAAACAAATACTACGAAAGGATGGCTTGACTGTACTGCAACCGCAAAAAAGAGAGTAGGGTTACAGGCCTTTCAATGAAAAAGTTCCACAGTCCACAGTAAGAGGATAATAATGATTTAAATTGGGGGGGAAATGGTGTAAGAAGCCGACCCCCCTTTATTTTTTAGCCCTTAGTCAATATACTGTTTCCTGTTTCTTTTTCATTTCATTCTTTTATTACGTAATCAGACACGTTCGGTTTATACGTACAACGAATATATACTATTCTCTGAATATATTGATTCATGAAATAATTCGAACCTGAAAAAAATGACACTCAAAAAAGAAGAAGGTCGAATTGAAATTTTCCAAACCCGAAAATCCTATTTCGTATGTGTGTGTGTGTGGGGGGGGGAGGGTGTATAATGATTGAATTTCTTTCTCTATCATTTTTTTCAAACGCTATATACTGCTTACCCTTCTTTGGTTATTTGGCTGTTGAAAGTGGGTGGGGAGGGATGTAAACAACGCCCAAATGTTCAATGCATGCCTATTTAATGATAGCAACACCCCCCTCCCCCTCGGGTTCAATGCCTATGTTATATAGAGTTCTTTTCTTATTATTCTCATACTTAGAATATAATTATTTTATATTCGAATGAACATAGTGAGGGAGAATATAACATAGGCAGTCAATGTGGCAAGCTTATTACAAAATTAAAATCACTACAAATTGGGGTCCGGCATTACACGATCAGTCGCTCAATACAGCTGTGAACACCATCTATGTCCTATACTCAGCATTCAGGGTCATTGAGCAGTGAGGGATCTTTTTCGTGCCAGCACCTACTGCGACACGGGAACTCGGTTTATACGGTCTCATCCGAAGGACCGTTCTCTCCCACAGTTGGATTCGAACCCGCGACGTAAGGATCGACTCCTTCCTTCCTGACTCTAGAGCATTCGCTCTAACCAGTGCGCCTTGCGTTCGATGCAAGAGCACCAACGAATGTTGGAAACGTGGGATAATCTGCATAACGGGCAATTTGTATAGTAGAGAATACGTATGCAGTTTATTGCACAAAAACTAAGGAATTCGTACACGTAGTACTGGAGAATTTTTTTTTCTTTTTGGACAGCAAGACAAGAATGACAAGGTTCATCCAGTTTTAGCTGCAGATAACATTATGGTTTCATATTTTAGTGTCAAACACTAAAATGTATAGAATCATGACGCTGCAGTTTCTAATCCAATTTAAGACAGTCGAGACTACATTGAATCTGTATACAGTGTATATTATGTCGTTTTGAGAAGGAAAGGAGGGGGGGGGAGAATTTAGAGTAACTCTTTGGTAACTCACTGTTGACGGGATATACTTAACATATCTTACATTTATTTTATGCTATCAGGCACGTAGTATCATTTTTAAAGAAGAAAGGGGATGTGATCGAAAACTTTCCTTTAAATCATGCGGCGGAAAAGGGATTCAAGATTTTTATATGAAATCAAGACAACTGTTACAGTAAAAACAATGTTTGAAAAAGGGAAAGGTGGCTCTTTTCAACTTTCATCTATGTGCCTATGAAAAAGTTATATGAATTGATACTAATATATATGTTATCATAAACGCCATTTCCTCCATGTAAGGGCGTATTAAACATGCAAACTGGTTCGCATAGCTCTACAGGATTCAGAAATTTGAAACTATAGACTGTCCAAACCGTAACATATAGATGTTGAATTTGCATCCAAACTAGAACACTCCCATAATCCAAACCGTACTATATTTGTTACGGGTACATAAAATAAAACGTTTTTTAAATACATTTCTTGAATGGGACACAAATTACACTTTCAATATCTTATTCACTCTAAAAAAAGTTTTACTTGTTGTTTTTAAAATAAGATATTAGATTAAGAAAAACTAGTAATTATTAGTAATCCATTTAGTCAGAATAGCAAGTAAATGACTATCATAGTTAGTAATTGTAAACATGATTAGTAATAAGGATGAATTCATTTACTTATAAAATGATTTACTAAGTATCAATAGAATTACTTAAATTATAGGAATTGTATTACTTTAAGTTAGTAATGAACTACTCATTTTTGTTAAATTATTATTACTTAATTTAGAGATAATATGCTTTCTATTTACTAAATTTTATGAATTATTACTAAGTAAATGTAATTCTGAAATTAATCAAAATCTAGAATATTATTACTCAAAAGAATACTAAGTAAATGAAATACTTATCATATTTACTAAAATCGACATTATTTACTAGAAACACTGCAAGGTACCGACCCTCTGACATGTGAGTACTACTCACAGATTTCTTTATTTGAGTTCCCTAATTGGGCCCTCTGAATAGTTTAGTAGAAGAAATCTACTTATGATGGAAACAATTATATTTTCTATTTCTTTTGCCAATTTCTTTGTAATTATTTTATTATATATAACAATAAAACATTTGATTCCAAATTCGAAAGCCTTATAAATTGAATAAGTTGTATATTTTTAAGGACCATTTTAAAAATGGTTAAACATTTCAAGTACTTAATTTCGCATTTTTATTAGTGTGACTTTTTTTTCACATGAAGGTATATTTAGAAGAAAGATAACTCCTCCTCACAGACAATTAATGATTAGACTACCATATTTAAGTAAATACTGATCTGAATTCTCCTTGATTTAGTAAATAAATGTTTGTTTTAAGTAAATTAATTAATACAATTCAAACAAGATGTGTTTGTGAAACACCTATGCCCCTGTATGGCAACATAGCAAAGGTTAAACTTTTCTTATATGCAAATTTAAATTATTGGGATTTCTTGATATTTCCAAGGTCAAAAGGTCAAGGTTATTGGTATCTAATGAAAGGTCTTGCCACAAAAAATACATTTGTGAAATGTGGAAACACTTGCCTCAACCCTTCAGAAGTTATGGTCAAGGTTACCAATTTTGAAATGTAGGTCAAACTCCAAGGTCAAGGACAAAGGGACAGATTTGGTGGTACCCTAAGAAAGGTCTTGTCACAAGGATGAACTATGTAAAGTATGAATGCACTAACCCTAATCCTTTTAAAGATACAGTCAAGGTTTGCTTTTTAAAAGTGGGTCAAACTCCAAGGTCAAGGTCAAAGGGTCAAAGTTCTTGATATCCTATGAATGGTCTTCTCAAAATGATTACATATATATAAGTATGAAAACACTATTCCTTACCGTTCAAAAGTTATGGCCAAGGTTAAAGTTTTTTTTCACAAGGATGGAAATCTCCAGGGTCATGGTCAAAATTTCATAGTTGTTGGTATTCAATGAATGTTCTTAGCTTTCAACAAAAAATATATATGTGAAGTATAAATGTCCTGGTATTTACTGTTCAAAAGATTTGGATAAAGAATAAGTTTGGATTTTTTGTGTATAAGTGAGTCAAACTTTAAGGTCAAGGTAAAATTTGGTGATACTCAGAGAAAGGTCTTGTTACAAGGAATACACGTGTGAAATATGAAAGTCATAGCTCCACTAAATCAAAAGTTATGGGCAAGGTTAAAGTTTCTGCAGATAAACAGACAAACATAGGGACAGCTAGACAGACAGACGGACACGACAAAAATTATATACCCCCGAAACTTCGTTTACGGGGGCATTAAATTATGAATTATATAGTAAATAGTGGTAAAATGTAAGTAAAGACCAAGTAATGTTATTACTTATATACGCAAATTTAAGTAAATATAAATTACTAAGTAAAACTTTTTAGTGTGTAAGTAAAACAATTCTTTAAAATACAAAAATCAAGTAAAACATTTGAATCTAGTAATTGACATATATTTCAGTAATTGATTTTAAATTTTAAGTAAATGCTTAGTAATTATCTATTACTTATCTTTGTTATTTCAAGTAAAAAATGACTACTAAGTAAAACTTTTTTAAGAGTGTTTGTAAAATGATTTTTCTTTCTTTTGGCTGCTTCAGATTTTAAAAATATTTGATATTATTTTAACAATCACGAATTAAAACTTGCTAAAGGGGTAAGAATGTCATGTGCATCGATAAAAAAATGCATCGACGAGTTATTTAAATGAACTTTATAAACAGAATAGAAACACATCATTTTGATTAACCAAATACCTATAAAATTTCAATAAAAACTTGAGAAAAAAATTAATATTTACCAAAATATAGACCTGGAAAAGGAACACAGTATTCACTGTTTGTACATTTTACGCCATTTTCACCGCATCCAAACATGTCACAACCGGCGCGGATACCCGACAGTGGAACTGTTTATCATCCTATTTTGAACTCATATTGGTGAATATTGACACAGAGTTTGAAGCTGAAGTTCTCTAGACTTACAGTAGTTTTTTTAGTATTACTCTTTATTGGCTATATATAAAAACACTTTATTCTATG